ATTTCCCTCAGATGTGGCCTCCTGGCACATTCTTCACTCTAAAGTGACCATCCTTCCAGCGAGGCTCAGGTGAGGGTTGGACAACCACCTCAGAGAAGTCAGAGGCACGGACTTAGCATCTAGCCTGCCCGAACTTCAACCCCACGGAAACCCTGCTCCTTAACCTTCTGTGACCTTGGGCGAATCACCCTGTGTTTGCCTCACAGCCACTAGGAGCACAATAGCAGGTACATTGTACTTGCTCCATTACACAAGCCAGCATCTGGAGCATGTGGCAGAGGTGCCCAGCACACAAGCAACCCAGCTTTCCTGACGTCTCCCTTCTCCAAAGGCACTGAGTATCCATCACTTCTGCCTCCCTGCCTAGTACTAAACTAGAGATTCATACCTTTGTTTTCCCTTCTGATAGGGCGCTAATCTGACGCATGCAGTTATGGTTTGACTAGGGAACATCTCTCACAGGTCCATGTGTTCAACACTAGGTTCCCAGCTACTGGCACTGTATGGGCAGGTTCTGGATCATTAGGAGGTGGAGCTTAGCTGGAGGAAGTTAGTCTCTGGGGGAGCTGCCTTTGAAGGTTCTACCTGGTCCTCTGTCCCAGCCTCTCTGTCTGCATCCCACAGCCATGATGCTCTAACTCACCACAGGCCCAGAATCAGCAGAGCCAAATCACTCTAAAACAGTGATACAAAATTAATCCGCCCTCCTTCAGTTGATCCTCACAGGTAATGCTCAGAATGACAAGAAAGCTAACTAATTCATCTACTTACTGGTTTTCCCTAGGGTCCTCAGCCTGTTTGACCACACACAAAAGAGCCTTATAAAACACCAGGTCAGAGCTGGGAGATGGCACTAGACTGCCTGCCCTGTCAGCAGGATGATCGGATCCCCAGCAACCACGTAAGAGCAGACTGTATCACTGTGTGTCCGTAACCCCAGTGCCAGAGGCCCAGAGACTGCAGGATCCCTGGAACTCATGGGTGAGCCAGTCTAGCTAAACTGATCAGTTTCATACTCAGTGAGAAACTCTGTCTCCAAAAATAAGGTAGAAAGTGATCCATGTCTGATCTCCACATGCATAGTACACACATGTGTATGCACAGGCACATGTGCATACACCTAAATAAACACACACATATACCACACACAAACACATACTATCATCTATCTATCTATCTATCTATCTATCTATCTATCTATCTAT